CTCTCAAAGCGACAAATTCTGCACTGCACTCACGAGTCCAAGTTTTTAATTCAGTTTACATCCGTGGCGTAAAAAATCGTCAGAATCTCTTCATTATAGAGGATCACAATATCACTAAAATGAATAAATCTCTTACAAGGGCGGTATGGCAGATGCGCTATATGGGACAACCGCCGCTTTATCATCTTCGAGGTTCATGTGTAGAGGCTGCTGGCAATCAATTGGATAGATCTAAAGGGTTAATTCATGTTTTACCATCGCACGATACTCATGACAGCACCGGTACCGACTTTGAAGACTCTGTTATCTTTTTAGGGAACGAATCTACACATTCAACCCTTTCATTAAATTCATCTAGTAATATATCAAGTATAGGAGGGGATGGGGCGTTGAGATTGACTGATCCTGATATTCATACACATACTTTATTGACTTCCCCAGGCAGACAACACACCATAGGTACCGCTAGGCACGGGATCGGTGTTTGTTCTGCAAACATTGACCTTAACTCAGATCGATGCGCTTCGAATGAAAATCAACTGGCGGTTGTTAATCAATTTAGCATCCACTCTCAATCACAGGTAGGAGGAAGTCAATTTTTAATTTCTGAATCTATTAAAAACCCTACCAGTGTGAGGGTAAGCAAGCTAGGTGGGCCAGTTGATACGCGGCAACAACATCTCGGCATCACAGCACGGGTATCAACACAATTGAAAAATATATCTCGCAACTTCGGTGATCTGTCTACTTCCATGACTAAGCAATTTTCTAGTGATGGACAAAAGGCTTCGGCGATCCCTTTAGGAGGGATTCTTGATGCGAGAAAGTGCTGCTCAAATTTGCCTAAAAATTCAAAAATGCATCCATGTAATAATTTGATGACTTGTAAAGTACATGATAAGGACAGTGACTACAAAGCTTCTCTGGACGAGATCGAGTTGTCTAGCGGCACTGTTTATCTTCCGCCTAGATTTCCTGCCACTACAGATTTGCCCTGTAAAAATACAACTGAAAAATGTCTTAGTCCCGAAGCGCCTATATCTAAATACAATAATGTGTCACCAAAGCAGCCGCGACTTATTAACGTTCCGCTAAACCCACTTTTGGTGCCTGAGGTTCTAACTGGGGCTGTTACAGAGGGTGGGATGAACGAGCGTTCCTTGAGTAGTAGTAGCCCTGGTTCAAGTAATAGTGGGGCTAACCACAACGGAAACTATTCACGATGTATGGGCAGTAGTGATATCTTGCGCTTCAACATTAGTGGGCCACTTGGGTTTCAAGAAAATACCACTGAGTATTCTTTGCGGATCAGATCGAACCCCAACGTAATGTCCACATGCAGCTTGGTATCCAGTAGTATTCAGCACCCAATTATCCAGGATTGGCTTGATGTGTCACTACGTGCTGCATTTGAACAACAGGCAGTTGCTATTGACATTAGCTATGAGTCTGTACGTGTATTAATGTATTTCTTTTTCCAGAGTCTAAATCTTCTTTTTCAGCCGCTTATAAAGGCGGAGAAGACAAATATATTTGAGCGATTAGCCACAGCTCTTGGGATTGGGCAACGAGGCACTCTCGAGAATTTATCAGCACGCTGCGCAATACAGTATATCCAACAGCATGAGAGAGAGCTCACGCTGCGGTGGGACCAAATGCTAAAGAAACATGAGGAAATAGAACAGTAACCTTTATTTTAAATATCATAGTCATTAATTGTTAAAGAAGGGTTAACTTTTAAGGTTAATGTGAATACCATGCCAATTTTCGAAAAACAATATGTTAGTAAAAGAACGAAAGCGCTACGGCAACCAGATATCAGACTTGAAATTCATTTTTTGATGGTTTTATAAATTTGTTTTTGATTTTTCCTTTTGCGACTATTATGATTCCTTTTCTATAATGATGAACTTAGTACTTCTATTATTATACCGGACCGTCTGAAATATCATCACTACATCTTGATGATCTTCTTTTTTTTCCTCTCTATTCAACTTCATGATGTTATAATAAGAATATTCGGAAATAAACAGCTTCTATTATGAAAAGTACTTAAAATCTCGGACGAAGAATTCGAAAAGTGAAGTATGTACTATTTTTCCCTCTTTATCATTGATACCTTGTTCCGTTCTTCTATGCTCATGTGTGAGTGCGTGTTCCTTTAAAGGAAATTCATTACTTTTTCTTCTTTCTGCAGTTCTAGTCAAAGGGTGTCACTCTGAGAGTACAACATAAGTGACAGGAAACACCTAGAAAGGTATTACGCTAACTCATGACAAGACGACACGCGAAGCGCGAGCGCGAACGATTTATTGTGTTATATGCCGCTCTGCGCATTTCCATTGAGCAAACACGACAACAGCCACACTATTTACCGGAAGAATTTATACTCACTCTCATTCATACTTCCAAACTCAAGGATACAACATCTTCACTGCCTCAACAGCTTGGCAATGGTATTCTTTCCTGTGTTCGGAGCCAACTCGTTCGTCTTGGCGGCCTGCGCTACGCTGATCCGGCTACGCTGGTACTTTATGAAGCAGTCTGGGAAGAGGCTAGCACCGTTACGCACTCAGATGCTCAGGTTGTGGATGGTGTTCATAGTGAGAAGAAGGATCTAAGTAATCGGGAACGCCCAGATAACTTGACACCTCCCTTATACATCACTGGAACAATGAAGATTATATTGCACAACCAAGGCGTACATGGTAAGGCAGCAGAGCAGCTTTTTCGCGCAGTGAGTGCGTGCATAAGAGAGGTGCCTGTTATTGTCATGCCTCCAACACGCTTAGGTCCAAAAGCAGAAAAAGAAGATTGTGCAAACAGTAGTGTTGGGGGTGAAAAAGCCAGTTTAGTGACGGGGCATCGCATCAACTCTATTCCTCTTAGGCTTTTGGTAGCGCTTCGTGTGCTAAAGTATCAGTGAGGGTCCAAACAGTGAAGTTATTGGGTGAAGCATAAGAGCTTAGGTGATTGACTGAATAAAATTTATATTCATGTTTCGGACCGCATGATCGTCATGAACTTTCCTTTTTCACATCATGTATGAAATTCCTCTAAATGCATTTCATCGATGATGTTTTTTTTTTAAGTTTACTTCCTATTACATTATGCAAGACTCATTTTATTTTCTATTGCTACAATTATTGATGCTGTTAGCCTTTCGTGCTTAATCTCAGCTCCTTAATCATTTATATTCTAAAAAAAATTCTGGATACTTATATATATATTATATATATATATATATCATAATTAAAAATACATATTCGTATCTTAATCAAGCACTATAGT